TTGGAGATCCCCTGAGACTCTGCCCCACCCTACCTACAGGCCCACCCAAGCTGCTTTTCCATATGAATGGCTGGTCTTGGCTCATGCTTCACAACTTCCTAAATCCTCTCAGACAAGCAACAGCTGGCTTCAGTGAACCCCAGGCCCGGTACTACCAGCAGCCAGCCGAGATTCACAGCTTGGCTTCACCTGGGAATCTCCAAGCCCAGCACAAGTAGTAGTCATCTCAGTTTGCTTTATAACTCAGGCAGGGTGGCCCCAGACAAAACACAGGTGGGAGTTGACCTTGGCCTGCACCACCCAGGAAACCCCAGAGCCTGCACCCCCCCAGTGGACAGCTACAGACCATGACAGAGCTCCACCAACCTGCCCCTGCACAGCTGATCCCCCACGGAGGGGAGAGGGTGGTGCTCAGTGGTCACAGCCAGTCCTTGCAGCTGACTGGCTTGGGTTAATCCCTCCCATTGACCGGCCAACAGCAGCCAAGGCTTAACTTCAAGAGGAGGGTGTACTCAGCCCACACGAAGGGTGCACCAGCTTGGGTTAAGAGAAGTCTGTGCCACTGGACTCTATAGGACACCTATTACATTAGGCCACCCTACCAAGACACAGAGTGAAACCAGTTCTACCTAATACATAAAAGCAAGCATAGGGAGGCTTCCAAAATGAGGAGACAAAGAAACATGGCCCAAATGAAAGAACAGATCAAAACTCCAGAAAAAGAACTAAATGAAATGGAAATAAGTAATCTATCAGATGCAGAGTTCAAAACACTGGTTATAAGGATGCTCAAGGAACTTAGTGAGGACCTCAGCAGCATAAGAAAGATCCAGTCAGAAATGAAGGATACACTAATTGAAATAAAGAACAATTAACAGGGAAACAACAGTAGAGTGGATGAAGCTGAGAATCAAATCAATGTTTTGGAACATAAGGAAACAAAAAACAACCAATGAGAACAACAAGATGAAAAAAGAATCCAAAAAATGAGGATCATATAAGCAGCCTCTGGGACAACTTCAAGCAATCCAACATTCACCTCACAGGGGTGCCAGAAGGAGAAGAGAAAGAGTAAGAAATTGGAGAACTGAAAAAATAGTGAAAGAAAACTTCCCTGATTTGGTGAAGGAAATAGACATGTAAGTCCAGGAAGCACAGAGTCCCAATTATGATGGACACAAAGAGGCTCACTCTAAGACACGTCATAATTTAAAATGCCAGAGGTTAAAGGTAAAGAGAGAATCTTAAAAGCAGAAAGAAAAAAGAAGTTAGTTACCTAGAGGGGTGTACCCATAAGACTGTCTGCTGATTTCTCAAAAGAAACTTTGCAGGCTAGAAGGCATTGGCAAGAAATATTCAAAGTCATGAAAAGGGGGTACCTACAGCCAAGATTGTTCTACCCAGCAAAGCTAACATTTAGAATCAAAGGGCAGATACAGAGCTTCCCAGACAAGAAAAAACTGAAGGAGCTCATCATCACCATTATTATATGAAATGCTAAAAGGACTTATTTAAGAAAAAGAAGATCAAAACTGTCAACAATAAAATGGCAATAAATACATATCTATCGATAATCGAATCCCAAAAACAAACTTTAGGAGGAGGACAGTCTGCCAGCAATCCTGATGTGTGGACTGCTCCATAAAATCCTCACTTCATTTTGAGTCTCAGGTTTTTCTTTTAAAGGGAGGTCACTTTGTGACAGCAATTCATCAGAGTAGCAAGACATAAGCACCAAACTAAAAGAATCACTGGTCTGTGCTGCTTCCGTGCCTTTTGTTCCTGCGCCATGTGGCTTCAGGGCTCATTCTCATGGGCTGACTCTGTACACACGACCCACAGCCCTCCTTTCATTCTATAACTAGGATGTGCTTTCAACAGGGACCACTCATCAAAACAACAATAGAAAGGATAACCATGTTCATTCCAGGTCTTCTAAGTCTTCAGGGGGACACACATTTGGCCAGAGTGCACCGTTCTGATTTATGGTGCCTAAGAGAAGCATTTTCCATTTGGGCCTCCTTCCCCTCCCCTTCCCATAACAACCCAACACATTGTTCTTGCTGCATCATTTGGCTCATATAATAGTTGTTATTAGGTGTTCTTCATTTCAAACATGACTTGAACACCACCTAGGTTTCTAGGTGCTGAAGAGAATGAAAGCATCAAGTCCTTTGCCATGACAAAAGTAAATCATTTGGATTGGTATGTTGACTGGAACAACGACACGTAGTTAATCCCAGCTGCTATGTGCTAGGGCCCAGGTGGTAGACTTTGGTGGGTTTGGGCCAGCAGCTTTCAGCCCACTTTCTGAACAGCTCGTTAGACACCCCAACCTGTCCTAGCTAGGGGACAGCCACATGGCCCAGCCTGGTCTGATTGCACACCTCTCCCCAGAAGGTGGATTTTGAGCAGAGTAATGTGGAGACTAATGTGGTGACAGATCATTCTGGAAATGGTGGCATCTTGATGGGCAATGGCTTTTTTTCTTACCTCTGTTTGTAGCCCATCCCAAAGCCGGGTGACTGGTCTTTTCACCTGCCTGCATACTTCTGCTTCTGTACTGCAACTTCCCATTGACATAAGTTAGCTGAGATCTGTTTCTGTTGCCTGCCACCAGTGAACACTAACTGAGACAGCCCCCGTCTTAATGTAGATGTGAGATTTGAGGGCCATCAGAAGAGAGTCCCTGATTTTACCATGGTGCTGAAACTGCCTTCTTACTCATTCATTTGTATGAAGGCATCGGAAGTTGCTATTATAAAACAGAAAATATGCCCTGGCTGGTGTGGCTCAGTGGATTGAGCACCAGCCTGTGAACCAAAGGATCGCTAGTTCGATTCCCACTCAGGGTATATCCCTGGGTTATGGGCCAGGTCCCCAGTAGGGGGCGTGAGAGAGGCAACCGCACATTGATGTTTCTCTCCCTCACTTTCTCCTTCCCTTTCCCTCTCTCTAATAATAAATAAATAAAATATTAAAATAAAATAAAATAAAATAAAATAAAACAGAACATATTAATCACGGTTACAGTTGCAGCTGTTTATTCCTGACCTTTGAGTTATCTTAGAAGAGTAGCATCCCTTCACTTGTTGTAGGACCGATAAGCATTGACAGGAAAGAATGAAAGTTCTGCAAGATTGGATTCTTCAAGATCTTAGGGGTGACTGAATTGAAAGAAGCATGAGTTCATTCACAGGACACCGGGGAAGGGAGAAATGGAGCAAAGTGGGGAGCAGCAAATGCCGAGGATAGTCTTTCTAGTTGTTTGCCTGGTAGCAGCCACACACACTTATGCACAGACTGCCACAAGGGGGCACTGCTGGCACTCTGAGGAAGGGTCTGAAAAATGAAGGGTGCAAGTGGAAAGTGTCTCACCTTCAACAGGAGAGCAGTGTGACCGCAGTGTGGTCTCATGAGGAAAAAGATTTTTAAAAGACTGGTGACAGGGAGGAGGTGATGATAACTGGGACAGAGGAGGTCCAAGAACTGTGAGGCCAGGATACTGGATGGGTCATTTGCACAGGTTGGTTGATAACATGGCTAGGAAGGACAGAGGGCTGTAGACTTAACGGCACCTCCGATGAACAATGGCTTTTACATGGGGCTTGAGAAATAAGAGGTTGCAAACAAGAGTAGGGCATGAAAGATGCCGCCTTCAACTCCACACCCCGACATGCGTGCAGTGTGAGAGGATGAGTGGCAGTCATTTGATAAAACTGCAGGGGTACAGGAGGCTCTGGGAGAGAGCTCAGTTCAGCTAAGGTTGAAAGATGGAAGACATCATTAGCATGCATTAAGGTGAAGCAGAGTTTGTTTGCCAGACCATGGAGTATGTGTGATGGGGGAGGAGCTGAAATAGTGGGAGTTAGTGTGCAGAAGAGAAAGCCAATGAGAGTGTGGGGATGAGCAAGTGGGAGAGGGTGGATGGAGGACCCCGGGGGCTTTGCACACTGGATGCCGTCCAGGGTCAACAGATACGGGAGTTGTGGCTGAATCGGCTGACCTCAGGTTTCCTCAAAGGAGGCAAAGTATGATTCAGTGCTGGTGCAGGGTAGAGCTCCATGACACTACTGGCTGTTGACTGGGCTTTAAAACAATCTGTTGGTATTTAAGGGTCTAAGAAATTAGTCCCCAAGACTATATGCTCTTGTGGTGGAAATGGCAGAAGCAACCCTCAAGAATCAGAGCTTGGTCACCTGAGTCTGGATTGTGCCTTGTTTGAAATCTTAGGTGGGCCAAGGAAGGATTTATGTTTCTTTCACTTCATACAAGGTTGAGCAGTGGCCAGTCTGGGACAGAGGCAGAAATGCCAGAATATCATCAGTGACCCAGGCTTCCTCCCGCTAGGCACTCCTTCGTAGAATGTGGCCCTTGCCCTCATGGTCACAAGGTAACTGCTAGAGTGCCTGCCTTCACAACCACACCAAAGGCAGGAAGAAGGAGGAAGATATATGGCAAAATTGGGCCACCAGCCGAGGCCCATCTTTAATGATTCTTCCTGGAAGCCCCAACAATGCTTCAGTGACTTCCTTCAACTGAAAGAGATTTTGAGAAATGCGGCCTTTTAGTTGAGCACATTGTCCCCTAACCCCCCAAATATATTTACATGTGGTTATATTAGTAAGGAAAAGGGTGAGAATGGATATTGGGTAGGTAACTAGAAGTCTCTGCTGCAGATATAGAGAAACAGGAAATATAATTATTCAGTTCAACTTAGCTCAGCTTCATACATTCATTCTCTATCCAGAAAGGAAGTCTTCTTCAGACTCTACCACAGTATTCAAAACCACATGCATCAGTTAGCTTTGGCTGCGTAACAAACCACCCCAAATTGTAATGTCTTAAAACAACCATTTTATTGTGTCTTACAGTTCTGTGGGCTGATTGGATGTAGCTGGACAGGTCTTTAACTGATATCACTAGAAACACTGTTTTGGGGGTTTCTATAACTACTAGCTATCCAACAGATACAGCTACAGCCCTGTGTAGAAGTAATTCTTTCACACTAAAGAAAAACAATGTTTCCTCACCCCACCCCCCAAGAGATTCAGTATTAAAGAACTTTAAGAGTGAGGCTACAAATATTAAAGATTAATAAGGGACCACCTTCTCTCTTTCCTTCCTCCTATGGCCCAATGCTTTCACTGCTTTAGGGGAGAGCCAGCAAATATCTAGGGAACCTTTTATTTGGAAGCTATCCTGGAGCAATTCGTGATTCGGGATCTTAAAGCAGAATATCCTCTCATCCTCAGAGAATTCACTCAGGATTCATTACCACACAAAGCTGCTCTTGAATTTGGAAGAAGAGAAACAGAGAAAAAGGCATCCATCTTTCTTTCGAATCCTGTTGCCTGCTTAATTTAGTTTTATGTTCTCCGAGGCCTTGAATTCAATAATTTAAGCTAATTTTCATTGCAGTTATGAGGCCTAATAAAGTAGTCATGTGTTCCCATAATAGGTAGTCATTTTAAGAATTTTTAAGAATGTAAAGTGTTTCCATGGAGAAAGAATAAAAACCATGTTTTCCAGCAAAGCAAATAACCATACACATAACTAAGCACAAAATCAAACAACCACAGTTTCTTACTTAGAAAGAACTTAAGCCATGAGACAAGGTGATTATTTGGATATTATTATTACAAAGAATTTAAATACACAAGTTTGGCTACAAAAGATCTGGTTAAGCCACTTAGGTAAAAGTCTGTCCGTGATGTCATAGCTTCTAAGATGTGCCACAAAAGCCACACAGTTAAACATTCCTCCGTTTTGTTTTTTTTGCAACTCTAGAAATGTTGTGTAGAGAGGTTCATTCATACATGTAGACATAGGAGATACATGGGGGCTGAACGGACATTTCCACATTTTACCAACCCAGAAATGAATTTAAAGCGAATATTGATGCCTGTCTACAAGAAAGGCATCTTACAACAATGTTTGTGTTGGTACATTGCAATTTTCCAGTTTGCATTTTTAAAATGGAGGGGCATCTGTGATGGCATATCAAAACACAGACACGTGACATTGAAAGTCAAATATAAAGACAGAGCAGACAACAGTAGCACTCAAGCACCCACGGGTAAAAGGCCGTCGGGACACAAGCCGGACACCAGCACGACACCGTCTACTGCAATCTCTCCGGTGTTGCCCTTGCCGCGTTCTGCTTCAAAAATGATCTAATAATGGAGAGGGGATAAAAAAATTACTTCAAAACATTCAAAACAATGATACAATCTGACTCTCTAACAGCTACTAAAGAGGACTAACCTCGTGTGTCCCTATTGCACAGAAACAGGCTTTGACATTGAGTAGCCAGTAACATAGTCTATTTTTCCACGTGACAGCTATCTGTGCTGAGTGAGTGATGTTCAGAGAAAACTGTAACACCCAAAAGAACCCGGAAACCCTTGGAAAGCTGAGGAGGGTAAAATGTAAGAAGAAATTTTTGAATTCCCACTTCAAACCCCCACCCCCAAAATAAAAGAATGGGGTTTTCTTAAAAAAAAAAAACTGCCTAAAAGAAATTTAGTATTCCCTGTGCACATCTAATGCAAAACTATATAGTTGAAAGGGAATTATTTTGATGTATTTAGATTTTGGTAGTTTATAATAACATAGTTATTTTTCTTAAACTGTTGATTCATGTATTCAGGAATTATCTGGCCTGTCATTGTTTTCATGTGCTGACAAATGTATCATAATAGGCTATAATCACTTTTATCTAAGACACTTATTAATAATCATGAGAGAAGCAAACTTCTTTGTACTTTAGAAATTTCTACTGTATAAAGAATAGAAGATGAATACTAAAAAAACCTTATCTTCAAATTGGACCCAAAATGACAGGGCTGACTCATTTAACAAAATTAAAGACATACAGTAACTATTTTATATTCACTCATTCACCTAAAAATATTTTCAAAGAAATATTATTAAAATAAATTTTTGCAGAATGATGCATATAAGTTTCTTCAATTTTGTCATGTTTTAAAAAATAGTTCATGTTACTTTTATAATCAGAAAAGACACCAAAATATTTTTAATTCAATAATTATGAAAGTAATAACAGTTACAACTTATGAAGCACCTATTAAATACCATTTATTGTAAGGAGTAGCAATAAAAAGGGTAATATGCTTAGTGTGCTCTTTAACTCTTTAAATCTCACTCTCAGAGATAAGCAGATTAGAGGCCAGAAAAATTATTCTGATTCAAACATGATTAAGGTTACTCTGAATCAAACAAATTAGAAAGAAAAGACTATCTAATTTGGAACATGTTATTCTTCTTTAAAATGCCACACACATGTACTTCTGTCAAAATGAATTCAGCAACATGCACTGTGTTTGTACTGTGCACATAAATAGATTCAAATAAGTATTCACGTGGAAAGGAGCATGCAAAATGTGGAAGCATTGATGTTACTGTGGAATGATTATGAATCTTTAATTTTTTTCAATAAAGTGATTTCCCTTTGTCTTCTCTAAGCATTTTATTTTTTAAAAGATTTTATTTATTTATTTTTAGAGAGGGAAGGGAGGGAGAAAGAGAGAGAGAGAGAAACATCAATGTGCAGTTGCTGGGGGTCATGGCCTGTAACCCAGGTATGTGCCCTGGCTGGGAATCGAACCTGCGACACTTTGGTTCACAGCCCGCGCTCCATCCACTGAGCTATGCCAGCCAGGGTTCTCTAAGCGTTTTAAAAATGAAATTCAAACTTGCAGCACATTGGCCTCGTAAAGAAAGGTCCTTCACGGATCATGCTCACAACACCAGCATGCACCTATTCACCATCCCCAACAGCATCTCTGTCCTGCTTCGTAAACAATCACGGGATAGTTTTCAAGGATGAAGTGGTTTGAGGCTCGCTGTCATCACTGTCCTAACCTCGCAGCATCTCCAAAGACAGAAGGGGGAGGCTCAGAGGGACAAATGGGGCAAAGGGAGACTGTGACTGCCCGCTGCCTGGACTACCCTCTGTTGCCCCCAAGCTACTGGGACTCATTTTCTTGAGAACTGCTGCACACAAGTTATCACCAAGCAGCAAGTGGTAGCTCAACTGGGAATAGGAATTTCTTCCTCTCCTAGTCTCCTCTCGGGAAGGAACTGCTTTCAGGAAGATGTCCTTCTGAGTATTTTTCAAAAGTAGTAAGTCAGCCCTGGCTGGTGAGGCTCAGTGGATTGAGCGCAGGTCTGCAAACCAAAGGGTTGCCAGTTGGATTCCCAGTCAGGGCACATGCCTGGGTTGTGGGCCAGGTCCCCAGTAGGGGGTGTGTGAGAGGCAACCACACATGGATGTTTATCTCCCTCTCTTTCTCCCTCCCTTCCCCTCTCTCTAAAAATAAATAAAACATTTGTTTAAAAAAGTAGTGAGCCAAAAAGCAGACCTCTAGGTGGGTTAAAGAGGGTGGGCAGGTCTAGACTTTGGGATATGATGGCCCCCCCATCACTGAAATCCCTGACTGACACTCCAGGATAACTAAAAATAAGCGTCAGGATAATTAATTGCCATCCTAATTTGTGTTGGTGTTTAACTGCATTTTTCCTTATCCTGGTACAAAAATATTAGGCAGGCTTCTTATGCTGTCTTTGAGAAAGGGTATTTGGGATATAACCATTGAAAGCAGATTTTTCTACAAGGCAATTCCTTCCACAAGCTCAACCTCCTTGAGTAGATAATGTTCATAGAAGGCGGAGCGGCCTTGGGTTCCTAGGAGATCAGCTCTAAGTCCTTGGAATATTCTACCTCCTCTGACCATCTTTGGCCAAGCCGGGCAAATTGATGTGATTTATGGTGGGGCCTTGAGTCCCACAAGTATCAGCCTGACCTGTGGAGAAGCTGGAGTCTGAGTAAGTAAAGTCAGCCACAGGGTTAGTCATGTGGGCAGGCCGACCTCGAACAAAACCCTACAATGCCAAGGCATGGGTGAGTGTCCTTAGCGGGCAGTATTTTGTGTGCATGGTCACGCATAATTGCTGAGAGAATTAAGAGCTCCCTCTCTCTATGACTCTACTGGTAGAGGACGACTACAAGCTTGTGCCCAGTCTATCCCGGACTCTGCCCTCAGTCCATATCCTTCCACTGTGACTAACTGTAATCGTGAGTGTAATAGTTTTCCGAGTTCTTTGCATCCTTCTGTGGTGTCACAGAATGTGAGGGTGGTTACGGAGCGTCCAGACAACAGCCACGTAAAATATGACCTTCTGGTTTTCATTTGTTGTGATAAGTGCTGGGCATAGGACAAATGAGGAAGATACTCTTCTCCACATTAAGGAATTTATAGCCTGGTTTGAAAGGACACTAGTGAAAGGGGCTGGACACACAAAAAACCGTTCCTCCAGAGCGTGGTATTTGTGCACCTGACAAGCATTATCATTAGTTGTGCCTAGTTTGTTCCAGGACATAAGCTCTTTTTCCCCCCTAATTTTATTGTAATCATTGTTCAAGCACAGTTTTCTGTCCTTTACTCCCATCTCAGCCCACCCACCCATCCCTCCCCACCTCCCTCCCATTTCCACCCCCCCCTAGTTTTTGTCCATGTGTCCTTTATACTTGTTCCTGTAAACCCTTCCCATTCTCCCTGAAATTCCCTCCCCTCTCCCCTGTGGTCACTGTCAGCCTGTTCTCTATGTCAGTGTCTTTGGCTATATTTTGCTTGTTTCTTTGTTTTGTTGTTTAGGTTCCTGTTAAAGGTGAGATCATATGGTATTTGTCTTTCACTGCCTGGCTTATGAGCTCTTTACGTGTGTGGGGAAAAGCCTCATCCGCCTTTGCAGTCCCAGCGCCTAGGTACTTCAGGAAGCGTTTTGTTTGTCAGATCATAGAAAATAATGTCAGTGTCTAGTGGAATACTCTTTTTCCACTTACGCGTTTGGTAGTGTCAGTCCCTTGACGTAACTGAATTTTCCCGGTCTTCCACCTTCCATCCTCACTCTTGGTCTCCTCCCATGCCAGAGGACTGTTCCTGCTTTTCACCAACACTCGAAGTTTCCCTACTTTGTCTCCAGCCAGCCAGTAATGAAAGAGCAAGCAGAAGTTGCTTTGGGGCTGCAGGTCAGGGAGGAGAAGTTTCAATCGGCCGATGTCCTTCTCATGGCCTGCCAGGGCTGGAACTGCCATATAGTAGCCGACGGCTTTAAGAAGAGAAAGATGCACCATTAATGAGGCCACTGTAAAGGGTTTGGCTACAGCGTATAAAATAGCTATAAAGAAAGAATGGGACAGCCCTGGCTGGCGTAGCTCAGTGGATTGAGCGCGGGCTGCAAACCAAAGCATCGCAGGTTTGATTCCCCGTCAGGGCACATGCCTGGGTTGCAGACCATGGCCTCGAGCAACCGCACATTGATGTTTCTTTCTCTCTCTCTTTCTCCCTCTCTTCCCTCTCTAAAAATAAATAAATAAATAAATCTTAAAAAAAAAAGAAAGAATGGTAATCCTCTATAGGGAAAGCTGAAGTTCCTTTCATTTCAAACACAAGAACAACATTTTCATGCTAAAATAGACTTCAGGGAATCGTGGAGTTGATGTCCTTTTTTTATGTAGAAAAGGCAACTGAGGGTCAGAGCAACCGAGGAACACGTTTACATTCACAAAGCTTGGCAACAGCAGATATGGGGTAAGAATCTAATTAAATGATCCCTTAGTACTGTAGGTGATTTGCAGTTGGTGGAGAGCTTGTGCTCCAGAACTTGGTTTTTTGAACTTCAGAATGCATTTCCCCACCGAATCAATGATACGTATGATAGCCAGCTCTTTCGGTGTTTCCATAGCATGGTATGTAATCCACAACATGTCTGAATGTATACTAACAGTTTCATGGAGTTCAACCACCATGTGTAACATATCATTTCAACTTCGGATTTCAGATGACAGGAACTCATCCTCTATGCCTAAGTGTCTATTTTCTGAGTATCTTTTAATCAGTGATAGTAGATGTTTGTTTATCTCCCATCTCCTGATTGTGGCTTTGATGAACTTGGGCAAAAACTCTCATGGAGTGGGGTTTGAAGAAGTTGGTAAGAAAGACGGATTATTCCTGCAGAAGCTCAGAGGAAGACACTGGGGTGGGGTGGAGTCTCCCGCTGGTGCAATTCCTGGAGACACTTGAGGACCCGGGCTGACACGGCCTTAGTTTTCACCGGACTCAGAGACTCTCCGGTCTTCTAAGTCAGCTACTAAGTTGTCAGATTCAGCAAATAATAATACAGGATGCCCAGTGGAGTTCGAATTTCAGATAAACAACATGCTTGAGAGATATAAAAAAGTATTTGTTGCTTATCTGAAATGTAGGCATCCTATGCTTTATTTGGCACCTCTACCAGCTACATTCTCTCTTCCGTGACCCACTGTGTCAGGTTTCTCTTTCTTTCCCAGCTAAAACCCACTTCAATCCATCTTTGAGTTTTTATCTTCTTAATGATGTTGATTTATCCCGTGGTTCTTTTTTTCTGTTTAACTCTGTAGGCAAAGACAAGCCCACCTACAGACAGAGGTGCAGAAGGGGCGGAAGTATGGTTTGGGTGATGCAAACCCCAGTGTCTTTTGTGAATTAGGTGTTTGTTAATAGGGGATTTCCCACTGGTAGAAATCCCAGCGTAAGACATTGCTGATTGTGTGAGCGGTCGAGATCCTGCAATAACCTAGCAGGGGTGTCCAACCTTTTGGTGTCTCTGGGCCACACTGGAGAAGAGTTGTCTTGGGCCACACATTCAATACATTGTGACGCGTAATCACAAAACGAATCTCATCATGTTTTCAGTAAATTTATGATTTTGTGTTGGGCTGCATTCATAGCCATCCTGAGCCACATGCGGCCTGCCGGCGGCAGGTTGGACACCCCTGACTATGGTCTCCTAGTGTGAGACAGCTGTGGTAGACACAAATTTGGAGATTCCATGACATTAGAAAGGAGGAACTCAGGTTAGTTATGACAAGACAGTGTCTCCAAATATGGATTCTCCGGACTGGTTAAACTTGCCCTGTGCCTGCCCTGATTCTTTAGCAGTAGTCCCACTCACACAGCTCGCTGTGTGGGGTGCACGCCCTCCACTGTGATCCCAAATTCTAGAAGGAATTCTTGTTAGGACACATCCAGGCTTCCTGATTGCATGTGAGGGCTTGAAGGAAAAAACCTCAGGAAGGAATTAGTCTAAAGGAAGGGTCTAGAAGACAGATCTACTAACGGAGGAGTAAGCCTGTACAGCCCCCAGAAAACAATTGGTTGGGTACGAAACTGGAGTCCCTGAAGGTATAACAATGGTCTCTAATTATATTATAACCCTTAGGAGGCAGGGATTCGATATATTCTCCGAATAGGATCTGCCAGCCATACGATCTGCCCAACAGGAAAGCTAGGGCCCCCCAAGAGTGTTTAGGTAGTCCGGGGAATGTAGGCAGGTCGGAGCTGAGGCCGAGAAATGTCCAGGGTTAGGTGGGAAGAAAGAAATCCTCGAGGAACAGAAGGGAAAGTTCAGTCCAGGAGTTCACACCAGGTGGCTGATTTGATGCTCATTATGGTTTTGACGATCTGTGAGGTACTCTACTAAAATCCCAGGTTTAGATAGAGGTCCTATTTCCTTTGAAGATTTGTTCCTCACCATCACAAACAAACAAACAAACAAACAAACAAACAAACTACAGAGCACCACAGGTGGTTAGCTGGGGGGAAGGAACAACCTCTTTCTACCTTTTCTGCAATACTCTTAAATCTCATACAAATGCCAACGTCTCTCTCAGCAGCAGGAGAGAGGAGGTAGGAGGTTTGCCGGGGCATCCTTTGTCGGGGGCGGGGGTGTTTGAAAGAGGGATTGGGCAGGAGAATATAACGACCTGAACCAAGTTGGTCATTTATCTGGGGAAACTTGGGAAGGGCTAACAGTTTCCAAACACAACCAGCAACCCTGACATCCCTCCCATCGCTGCACAGCTTTCTTTACTTGAGCCATATCGTAGAACATGAAAGAGTGAAATCTAAATACCATTCTCTTCGTCCACAGGACTCCAGTCAAAATCATCTTCCACATCCTGCTTCCAGTCACAGACCCCATGGTCGAAGCTGCAGTCAACCGAGATGTTTAAATCTGCTAAGGGAAAGGGTACACTTCATGATCACGAAGAACATTAGAAACACGTCTAACATTTGGAGCTTTGGAAGGCAGTGCCGTGTTTTCCATTGTTGTAGAGAGTTCAGCAAAGCCACTCCATGGTGTTGTTGCATTGGCCGTCATTTTGTTTGGCCGACCAGCCAGTGGGGGCTTTAAACTTATACTAGCCCTCGTGCCAGTGCATGCCCTATCAGGGGTGGCCAACCCTTTGGTGACACCAGAAGAAGAGTTCTCTTGGGCCACACATGAAATGCATTGTAACACATAATCACAAAAAGTCTCATAATGTTTGCAGTAAATTTACGATTTTGTATCGGGGCCTGCAGACCACAGGTTGCACACCCCTGCATAGCCTGTATGTCACGAGTACATGTAAGTTCCTGATAGGACTTCTCCAACAGCCCTAGTGATAAACAGTCTCCCCTGCCTCCCAGGGCCTTGCCCTTACGGAAGACCCCTGTGGAGCTTACCAAATCTCTCATCTTGTTGGTTTGAATCAACCAATCCCACCCTAGCTTGGGAACCCCCAAGTGCTGCTCAAATGGACCCTGCTAAAGGCATGTGCCCCAGGTCCTGCCTCTTACCCTGTAAGCACCCCGCCTTGACCTCCCCATGTAGCCTTGTACTTCCTCCAGGACCTACCAGTGTAACTTCTCCATCTCAGTTTCTTTTGCAGTCTTTTGCTGAACCCTGGGGCTCTACTTAGCAAATCATTTAACAAAAATCGTAACGAGAGGCCAGCACATACACACCGCAGTTTCCCTCACTCTTCTTTCTTCTAAGCCCCTATTGCCCCCTATGCCAATGAAGATATTTTCTTTCTACCCCAGTGTGAAAACTAAACCATGCCAGGCATTGCCTGCTTCCAGTCTTCAGTATTCTTTAGAGAGTGCTATTACTAGTGTGAGAAGTTGAGGTCGCCAGCCCACAGACAGCACCACATAAAATTTTCACTTGGGCCCTGGCTGGCATAGCTCAGTGGATTGAGCTCGGGCTGCGAACCAAAGCGTCACAGGTTTGATTCCCAGTCAGGATACATGCCTGGGTTGAAGGCCATGGCCCCCAGCAACCGCACAATGATGTCTCTCTCTCTCTTTCTCCCTCCCTTCCCTCTCTAAAAATGGATGAATAAAATCTTTAAAAAATTTTTTCACTTAGTTTATAACTGTGGTGGCATGTTTGTCCCCAAATCTTTCCCTTCCACAACATGCAGGAGACCAGGAATATAAACTGGGACAATGCAATAGCATAAAGCCAACTACTCCATAAAGAGAGAAGAGCCAAGGCTTTGGTTCCTTGAATACAATAGTTCACTTGTCCAGCACTTTACGGTGTGCAAAGTGCTTTCAAATCTATTCTCCGATTTAATCTCTATCACCCCTGAAACGGAGGTTGTTGGTGCCACACCAACATCTGTCCCAGGTGCACGTCTTTCTACTGCAAACACCCACAGCCATCTGCATGGAGATACTCTGGCTGGAGCAGGCTATTCCTCCAGGAGACTCCTCAACCAGTGATGGACAGGCATTCCTGGACAGATACCTCCATTCCTTTGCCTTTGGGGAGGACCACTAAGTGCTGGAATTGGACACAGACCTTAAGTCAGACTGAACTCCAGGTTCTCTCCAGTCTTACAGAAGGTCCAGCTAGGATGGAGGTCCCTTCCATGCCTTTTTTTTTTTAATGAAGATTTTTTTTAAGATTTTATTTATTTATTTTCAGAGAGGGAAGGGAGGGAGAAAGAGAGAGAGAGAGAAACATCAATGTGTGGTTGCTGGGGGTCATGGCCTGCAACCCAGGCATGTGCCCTGACAGGGAATCGAACCTGTGACGCTTTGGTTTGCAGCCCGCGCTCAGTCCACTGAGCTACGCCAGCCAGGGCTCCCTTCCCTGCTTTCACACAAGGCCAGGAGCACCAGGAAATTAACACCATCCTGAGAGCAGCCTTCAATCAATGTCAGATAGGAGTTGGTATATAAATACCACAGCTCCCTCGCCCCTCCAGTAGGACAATTCTGAGCTGCATGTCCTACACTGGCTCCCAGACTTCCCCAACAGGATTGAGCTCCAGTTACCTGGAGGAATCTTGCTTGAGGATGCACCCTGTGTTGCCTCCTGGTCTTCACCGTCTCAACTCTCCCCTCCAAACCACTGTTTCCTGGGCTCATCTCCCACATAAACCACTGCACACAGATTCTTGTCTCATGGTCTGTTTCTGAGGGACCTAGCCTAACACAGCAACTTAGAGAGGAGTGCTGCTGTCATTCCAACTTTATGCATGAAAGTAATGAGGCATCACAGGTCTACCTGACTTGCGGAAGGTCAACAGCAAGTGGAAGGCTTCGGGTGCCCACTTGAGTCTTTTAGTTGAGACTGAGTGCTCCAGAGCACCTTACTCAAGGACTCAGAAATCACAGGGTCACATGCTCATATGCAAAATTGGAAACTTTCTGTATTTCATCAAGGATCATGTAAGAAGAGGTAAAATATGAAACCCAGTAGGTATGGGGATCCAGAGAGGACTCAAAAACTTTATTAATGTTACTTAGCAAGCTGGGGCAGAAGTTCTGAGCACCTGGAGAATGTAGCTTATTTCCTGAACTATGAAACATTTTCTTCCTAACCAAGAACATGGGTGATAAGATGTCTGATGCAGATAATTTTTTTAAAAGGAACACTCACTGCCCTGGCTGCTGTGGGTCAGTGGACTGAGTGCTAGCCTGTGAACCACAGGGTCACAGGTTCAATTCCCGGTCAGAGCACATGCCTGGGTTGTGGGCCAGGTCCCCAGTGGGGGACAGTCAAGAGGCAACCACACATTGATGTTCTTCTCCCCCTCTTTCTCCCTCCTTTTCCCCTCTCTAAAAATAAGTAAAAAATAAAATAAAAAAAAAACATAAAAAGGAACACTCAGGAGAAATATTGAGGAAAACAAGATGACTGTAGGAGCTGAGTCAGGGGTCATTAGTTTCAGGGTGTTAGTAGAAGCTTCTCAGATGAATTGGGAGGACTGAACTAGAGAAGTACTTTCTCCATGGTGGAGACTGCCTTATAAGCCAAAGGGATGAAGTTGAACAATGTACCCATGGGGCCAATGCAAAAGGGAATCAAATTAGCACAAGCTTAGGACATGTACAATGCTAAGTAAAAGTTTGAAAAGGAAACAGAAGATCAAGGAATTCACATCACTACTGAGCACAAAGGTAAATATACAAGTAGGCTTCTCCCTGATGTCTTTGTACAGATGCCAATATATAATTTGTCATGGGTTGTAAAAGTGCTAAATAAACCCAGAGGATTAGGGATCATGACTCAGACATTCCAGAGAATGAGGCTTTGATAGGTGGATCCAAAAATGGTCCGATTTTGACCCCTGCCTATATTCACGCTCTTTGTAGTATGACTTCGTAGCGCCTGCCCAGCATTTAAGTCTGGGCTGGCCTTGTGACTTGCCCTGGCTGATAGAATATGATGGAAGTGAGGTTGGGCCAGTTCTGGACCTAGATCTCAAAAGGCCTGTGTGCCTCTGATCTCTTTCTCGTTCATGAGAACAAGCTTGGTTAGCCTGTCGGAGGATGAGAGACCACATGGAGCAGAGCCAAGACAGCCCGGTTGTCTGAACTGTGGCCCCAGACAGCTGAGGGAGCACAGCTCAAACCAGCAAAGTCACTGAGCAAGCCCACAGCTGACTGGAGACACGTGGGTGAGCCCTGCCCAGGCCAGCTCAGATGAGCAGAACTGTGCAGCCAGTCCGCAGACTCATAAGCAAAAACATTTATTTTATTGCTGTAGGCCACTGGGGGGTTGTGATTGTTTGTTATGCAGCACAATTGTAGTAACTGGTAACTGACTGGCACAGGTACCTTGGGTCAGATTTTAGTACACGGTGATTTTCAGATTGTGGGCCCTTGGGTGTTAGAATTGAAGCAAATGAATCATTTTCTCCCACCTCCATACATGCAATCTGCCTTGGCTCTTCACTCTCAGTGTCCCTCAGTGGGAGTGGTGGAGAGGAGAAGACAGGCTTACTATATTGGAATCATTGGTATTAATCGGGTAAGGACCTACTATTTTCACACCGGCACTGAGTGTCATGATGTAATGATTTTTAACTTTGGGTGTTTAGGAATGAAGCAGTGACTCATCAACAATCATCTCATCCTATGAAGAAACAAAAATGGCATGGGGCTGTGAGAGAGCATGCACTTGGAAAAGGGGTTATTTACCTTGGTGTTCCAGTCTGGATGGTATTGCTTTTCTTTGGACCAGAACCAGTCCCAGTTCACCTGCTTCATTCACCTTAGGGGCTAATGGAGAAGACATAGTCAGTTAGGAACAACCCCAAAACCCCACATGCTTAGAAGGTATGATTGAATGACTGAACAAAGAGGGTTTTATCACATATTCTGCTGACAGCGCATGTCAGAGCCCTGTACCCTAACATTTGCAAGGCACTCACGTGGGTCCAGTTTCCTCATCCAGAACACCTTTTTCCAAAGGTTACTCCAGTTGACCTAAGCATCTACAGTAGTAACATGTCCCTTCTCCCCAGGTTTTGGACACCCACTTTGGTGAGACTTGCACTCTCTACTAGGGGAGACGATATGTCATCGGCACACTAGTTCTTGGATGGGCAGGCTTGCATCTACTTCTCAGGTGCTTAAGTCCAACAGTCATGGAGCCAAGAACAGACACAGCAAAATATAAAGGGAGCAACAGCTGCCCAGAGAGAATGCAATGGAAAGTCTCAGGGTGGGGGGATCAGAGTGGGTTAGAACCCATCCTGGAGGGGCTGGGACTGATGGTGGGTCCTGCGGTTATCCAGTTGATGGAAAAAACTGAAGCTTAAGCTCTGTTGTAGAATTTCTTCCCCTAGGATGGTCTACTTTGACTTTTAAAATCATAACCACAGATGGTGAAATTCTCCTTTCATCCAGTGGGGCCACAAAAGGTACATTCAAGAAGGAAACATGTAGAGTTCGGCAGATCCACCTGGCAAGGCTCTCTCTGGTTTGGGGGCTGCACCACCTGCAGAGCTGGGCAGCCAGCCCGACAACGGAGACTGCAGGACAAGCAGGCTGACCTTGCTGGGCGTGCAAAGAGAGGGTCTGTGTCAAACAGGAACCGGCGCCCCAGGTAAGGGGAAAGGACCTATGCTCTTCGTTTCCCATAGGAGCAAATCTGACTTCGTATCCATGGGAGATCTTAGTTTCCCGACTTTATAAAGAACCCTGCTTCTTAGGACTTCAAGCTGAACCCATTTTACTGAAGGAGTGAAGCTGTCTTTTCTTCTTGAACTTCCTAGGGAAACCACAGTTCATTGTTCATGGAATGTGTACCACACCAAAAATGATACTCACCAAACACATCTCCTCGAAGGCTTTGCTCCGGCTCCACGTGATTCTTCAGGGCCGTCTCATCTCTTGTCTCTTCCCCCAGCCCCTGTTTCATTCTCTCCTCCGTCTCCCTGTTTCCTCCATTCGGGTTCTCATCTCTGGAAATGCTGTCTTCAGAGGCGAAGGGCCATAGGTTACCCTTAGGGGCAGGTGTCCCGGCAGGCTCTGTGATGACATTTTTTATTTTTACCTTCTTTTTCATGCTGTTTTTGTGAGCCAGCAACTTCTTGAGTCTGTCTTTGATGGTGCCGGGGGCTCTGAGGACTTCCTTCCCAGACTTCTCGGGGATAACTGAAACAAACAACAGCAGGTCAGAAGTTCCACCATGGCCGATAATTAGATAACTCACACACATAAAAAAACAGAGCATTTAAAAAGGGTTCAAGTGCAGGAGATGAATGCTTCCAGAATCCACTGGCATGAGGCTCTATCGTCTGATATTTTCAGAACTATATTTGCAACTGTTTTCAGCAGTTCCAATGTTATGATAGTATCTTAATCACCTTACCTTAGAAGGACATTCTTTTGTTTTGCTTCAGAGACTACAGCGATCAAATACCTACTCCTACCAAGTTGGGCTACAGGTTCTAAGGTGATGGATTTTCCCAGGTCCTCTAATATTTCCGCTCTCACACAGGTAATCTCCGAAGCTGGCGTTGTCTAGGTCAGCCCTATAGATTTGTCCAAATTTGCTGTTCAAAGATTGTAGCCATAGCATTAGGCTGACCCATATAAATTGTCAATAATGAGCCACTTGTGACCTACAAAAATGGTGATTTATGGTTCAATGTGCACACTCTGAATTTTTCTTCCCTGTTCTTTCTCCACTTTGAATTTCTTAATCTCAATCTACTATTACCTAAAGTGAAATAATTTTATTTATTGAATACCTATAAAGAGGCTTCTACATTTACTGTTTCATGTTCACTTTCTATTTCTCAGTACTAAATTAAATAGCTTTAAAAATGCACCTCCTGGTGGATCAAGGGCCCTTGGGGGGAAATGTTAGTGTAGAAGAACCCAAGAGGTAGAAAAAAGGTTATGCAGTCCAACACCTTTGTTTTATATGGGAGGCCACTGGGTCAGGATCAATGACTTGCCCAAGGTCACTCTGATACCCAGGGACAGAGCTAGGATTTCAGGGCGAAGCAGATGAATGACTCTACTTTCCAGTCATATTTCCATGACAGGTTTATTCCTGCTTTAGGGTTAAAGGTTACTTTTCTCTAGACTGGTTCAAATTCCTTGAGATCCAGAATCCAAAGATGCATGCCCTCTTTCTAGGGATCTACTCATGGTAATTAAGAATACCCAACTGGTAGGGGGAAAAGTAACTTTTAAAAAATTAATAACACTGATCTTTAAAATCGAATACATTGTCTTTTTATAAAATATCTAGGCATGTGCTACTCTAAAACTAAGCAAGGAAGGGTCTACTAACCCCTGAACCCATTTATTCAATACTACTACTTGGATATAGCTTAGAGGAAATGAAATAAGGGCATAGACATCAATTTCAGACCATGAAAAGAATACTATAAAAGAAACTAGAAATAACATTTGCTTGGCAATGTTTTAATCTCTTCTGTTGCTCAATTCTTTCTCCGTTATTTGGCTAATTCAATCTGTACCAAAGTGGTAGAAAAATAAACAAGGAGACATCTGCAATATCCACAATATTTTTGGGCAATGAAAAGGAAAAAACAAATGCTTTGAATAATATACATGTTCTTAATGAAAACATTGCTTTTACTTTGAAATCAATCTAAGGCTGTTATACCAAGAGCAACATTTGCCTTTTCAATGCAATGTCCTGGCTATTTATCAAAGTGACAGCCTGTAGTTATAAGTTCGAATCCAACTACTACTAATACAAGTAACACATCATTACTCATGTTCCTGACCTGCAGATGGCCTGTTTCAGCTTCTTTGGCGGAGGTCACATGTTGAGTTTTGATTGTAATGTGCTCATCAGATATAGACCTTCCCCTGGAGGCCCCCCTGTGTAATTCTGTGCATGGTTCCCTGAATCTTTTCCCAGGACCCAGCATGAAAAATTGACAGGAAACACCCATTCCCTGGAAAGTTCCTTTATGCAATCAGTATGGCAGAACTAAGGACCTTTAATAAATAATGAGGAGAGGGTTTCAACCCACACCAAGCAAACCTAAACATATGCTTTCAGTTTCTGCTTTGAAGTTTTGATTTTTCCTACCAAAAAAAAATCAAGCCACACAACCTTTGTGGGATCAACAATCTCACTCCCTTAGCAAGGATAAAAAACGATGCATAGACATGACCACGAATGGATGGATTTAGCTTTCTCTGGGTATTGCTGTTTCAAATTTGACATAACTGATTTTTTTCTCTTTAAAATTGCTTCATTATTGCATCATCTTCTTGAGAATATAAAAATGTGGCAGGAAGTTGCAGTAGGAGGGTCTTTGATGCGTTGGGGGATCTCAGACATAAAAATAGGGAACTCCAGAGTTCTCAGATTCACAAGGCAGTCTGCTGTAGATGAAGCTGGCAATTTCTCTGGGGGAGATTTGAGATTTCTACAAATATTCACTTTGCCCTAAACGTCTGCCTCCCTGAAAATCATAACTTTACTTAGAAAAGATCACTATGACAGACAACATCCTCCAGGAAGGAATATAACTTTGACCTTCATTCACCTGTGTTTAATTCACCAGGTGATTTCTTATCAATGGCCAGGAGCAACGCTCCTCTCATCTGAGCTTTGGACATAGCCCTGAGAAGAGGGGCTTCATTGTGGATGAGGAATGTACCACGCTCTGAGATCCAGGAAACAGGAAGGGGTAAGGATGGCAGAAAGGCTAGCCCTGAGTGTTGGGGAGGGGCCTGTGTGTAGTCTCCACCCCGGAGGAGGAGCCATGGGTCTTGGACACATCCATCCCGTGTTAAGCCTGGAGCGCCTGTTCCTGGGTCTGACTCCCAGCTTCCACATCTTCTAGTCACGTGCCCTCCAATCAACACTTATCACCTCTTTGCCTCAGTTTCCCCATTTATAAGGTTGGGATAAGAACAGGGTTTTGGGGAGACTGAAATGAGCAAATACATGTTAGCTACCAAGACTAGTGCCTGGCATATATTCGACCTGTGTTTGCTACTATTTTTAGAATGAATCACCAGAACATTGAAAATCTTTTACTGAGTTAAAAAAAAAAACAAATTTCTGGGCCATACCTCTAAACTTCCCATGCTTATGTTATAATTGAAAGAAAAAAAATTTAATGGCCTGGTTGTAGCAATATGTATGACCTTCAATACACTCTATTTGAACTGAATGAAATCAGTATATTTCTGATGACTAGGGAAGCTGTTTTTCAAAGGGAGCAATTGTTGAGTTTTGGTAAAGAAGCCACTGCCCCTATTACTGCTACTACGTGTGCATGATTATTGAGCATTTAATATATTATGGGCTTGAGCTAAACCCTTGATCTGGACGTTTATTTATTACGTATAGGTTATTTCAGATAACCGTCTGAACGGTAGTAAGGGCCAGATACCATTATGTCTATTTTGCAGATGTGAAAACTGAAATGCTGAAAACTTAAAGAATTTGTTTTCAGCCCACAGGTGGTAGGCTAGGGAGCCAGGAATCAAGCTGAGATCATTTGATTCTGGAAGCCACGCTCCTGGTAACTCAATGATATAGTATCCTTTTCTAAACTGGCTGTTACTACCCAAGCTGGGTAATATCTTACTTTTGATATTCTTTTTTTTAAAAGATTTTATTTATTTAGTTTTTAGAGAGGGAAGGGAGGGAGGGAGAGAGAGAGAAACATCAATGTGTGGTTGCTGGGGGCCGTGGCCTGCAAGCCAGGCATGTGGCCTGACTGGGAATTGAACCTGCGACGCTTTGGCTTGCAGCCCACGCTCGATCCACTGAGCTATGCCAGCTGGGGCTTAACTTTTGATATTCTTACGATGAGGTATGGCTGCTGTCAAATTAAGGCCAAATCATCTAACAGTGTGTTATTAACACTCATGTGTATTAGAACAGCAAAACCAAACCAAACCAAAACAAAACAAAACAGACATCTACATTTGGGTGCTTCTCCCTCTGGGTATAGATGACATGTAAGGATGCTCTACTAAACTCCTCTTCTCTATTGCAACGTAGAGTCTGGACTTTGACAAAGCCAATGAACTCACACTGTACAACACACCTGAGAGCTGTCCCACCTGCGAAGGGGAAGCTGGGTATTTATCCACAGACTTCTGGACCCACTGCGTGTTAACTCTGGTTGCACCTACATGGCGCTGAGCAGCCTTCTAGAAAAATCTGGAAGGCCCCAGAGCAGAGAGAGTCCACTGCCCTAGGGCTAGGGATAGGCATGAAAATGTCCACCTGCCTCTCTGAAATGAGGGAGCTTCGAGGGCCTGTGGCCTGGCCCACAACAGGCACCCACCACAGGACTGCCATGAGCCCCATTTTGGATAGGAGGAAACTGAGTGTGGAGAGACTAAGAACCTTGCTAAAGGTCACAAGCAGTATGGGGCAGAGCTCAGATGTAGGTTCAGGCCTTCCTAGCTGCGGAGCCTGAGCTGTTGACCGTGACAGCACGTGGCCTCAGACAAGGGAGGCTGGACTGCACATGTTCAAATGTCGCGGCCTGAAGGAACCCTCGACCACTCACTGATCCAGTATGGGAAACGGATTGACTCAGCCTCCTCTCTGGGGGCCTCTCAAAGGTAAGGCATCCCTCCCCGCAGCTCACCCATGCACAGCTCTGCACAGGCAGCCAACTTCTCTTTCTTTGAATACGGTTTCAGAAGGGCATCATGGGCACATCTATGCAGAGGGGCAGACACCACAGCATCGAGTGGCTGGAGACGGAGTGGCCATTCAATCCCACCTCCAGTCAATGCCGGCGTCCGTCCCAGAGCCCCGGGCCTGAGAGCCTGCCCAGTGGAATGTCCCCACTCAGTCGGGTTCCTCCTCCACTCTCAGATTCCTGGCAGCCGTTTTTAAGAGAGACTGTAACCACCACCTCTTGGTCTTAGTTTGCTCATGGAAAGCATTTTGATTTCATATTCTTAAAATATTTACTGGCAGCGTTTACGCTTTTCCACAGTGTATTTTTTTCTTCCTGATGAAATGCTGCCCACCTGTTCGGGCAGCTCTTCACAGAATGGGATTCCGTGCTCACTTCCTTTGACCACATTCTTTCGTACACCCTGTTCCAGGGGCGCTCAGCCACAGCCCGTGGGGGACTGTGAACCCGTTACAGGTGTGCTGCTCAGGGCCTGGCATGGGGCAGACAGTTCATCTTTGCCATCACTGAGTGGCCACTCGGTCGTGTCGCCAGGAACATTGGCCACATCAGTCAAGTGCAGTCATATTTGCTGGAACATGTCGGGACTCTGCTAAAGGGCTTCATGAGAGAGTAGGGTCGGGGCAGAAAACAAACCTAGTCACCCAGTGAGCCAAAAACGACCACGGGGACAAACCTGGGTGACTTCAAACACTGTGAGACACTGTTTGTCAAGGGAGTGACATCCTTGCTGGCTTGCTTTGGGAGACCTTCCAGGGGCTCATCATGATTTCTAGTTTTCCTCTCTTTGGGGACACACAGAATTATTCAGATATTTGCCTCTACCTCAAAGCCGAATTAATTAAGAGCTGGTGTGTGATTGTCTCTGCTTCTTTCCCTGCTGTGACAACCCTTATCGTGGTACCATAAGATGGTGGGGCTTCTGTCAGTCTGGGTCCCTCAGTGACATGGAGAAGAAACACTTTGACAACTCTCTTTGGACACAGCACAGGTGAGAAGTAAACAATTGTTGTAGCTGTTAATAGCGGTGACATTCTATTGTTACATGCTTGGTTTGTGAATTTCAGATTCGACCACCTGAGCATTAGGGAATTCACGAGCGAGAGCAATGGAACTCTTTGTTACACACCAGAAATGTGAATCCAGGTTTGAGGATGAGAGATGAAGTGACATCAGCTTCACCATATTTTGTTTTGGTTTGCCTTCTGGAAAAAGTCCTCATTCACACGGTTAAAAACTGTTGTGGTCCTAGGAAAAGCCACTGACATTTCTAGGACAGCTTGTTACTGCACCATAACGTAGCCTATTCTGACCGATACATTTGCTCAGTGTCATTTGTCTTTAAATCTAATTTTCAGTATTTGAAAGTATGCTGTGACCAGAAAAATATCTAGAACCGTCGCTATTCTTTAAATTGAGTGCCTACAACTCCAGCATTTGAGCTTTGGAGATGTGGTTCGATTAGCAGACAAGAGAGGGCTGAAGTCGAGCTAAATTTTCAAACACTGCAGGCACAGCCACCCCGGGGTGGGGAAGTGCAGTACAGACGAAGGGAGTAAGGAAACATGGAGAAAATGCTTTATCTGGAAAAGCAAATGCACCGTGACCAAACGCGACTTACCAGAACACTGAAGTCCACTGCCTTTATATCCCTGCTTGCACTTGCACTTGAAAGATCCTTGGGTATTGAGGCAATTGGCGTAGAGGCTGCACGTGTGGGTACTGACAGCACATTCATTTATGTCTAAAAATGGGAACATCCCATGAACAAACTTGTGGTAACAGGGCATGCCGAAAGGCTGCCAGCACTTACACTGGAGCCAACCGTCAACACATCAAGTGTGGCTGCAGAACTGAGAGGAGTTCATAACCCCGGGTGCTTAGGCCCAGACGCCCAGCCTGCCTGACGCCAGGCAGGTAGGGAGTGTGTCTGTAGCCCGCCATCCCCACAGCCATCTCATCTGCTTAGCAACACTGCTGAAATCTATAAGATGTTTAGGTTGTTTTCTTAACTGTCTCATCTGTCTGATTTAGAACTAAATCACAATACGAGGAAATAGATTATATGCACGGAAAGGCTTGGAACCCCTAACCAACAACAGACAAGCCTGGCTAGGAACCATTGACCTCATCCGAATATGCAGGCCTTTTGTTCAAAGACGACCAGGAGCCAGGTCAGGCTGGTCTGAGCTTGTCTGCTGCATTTGCAGTTGGAAAGTGTTCCAAACTCCACGCAGGTGAGGAGTTCATTAGCCCTCTTCTCCACCCGACTTTCCCGCTATGCTTTTGGAGACAGAGGCTCACAAAATAGCCTATTGTTTTTCAGTTAGCCACAAAGGGAGCTCAGAGGCTGATCTCCGTGACTTTTAAAATCACAAAGATTTGTTTCCTTTGAAAGCTCTCCATGTGACTTCACACCCTGTCCTGGGGAACCTCCCTATAGGTATCTTTTCGGCAACGTGGCGTGACTGATCACAGAGCCGGATGGGTCTGAGGTAGCGCATGGGGGCCAGGCCCATGAGAAACAGGGATTTTACCAGCTCGTGTAGGGCGGTGTTGTATTTGAGGACATTTGCGGGAAGGGCTGTGGAAGCTTCAGAAGACACATCCAAACCCAGGAACTGAGCGTTGCCCCAACATGATGACACGGGATGTGTCTTGGGATGCTCCGAGCGCAGGGTTGAATGAAATCTGACTTTTCTCCCACTGTTAGCTTCCATGTGTCATGTGCACGTTTGTTACACACATCACGTGAGGAGGAGTCAGCAGGGAGCCCGAACTCCACTTCGCTGCAGGACGGGCCCGCCCCACATCCTATCAGGGCGACGGGAGTGCATCCCAGGGCTCTGCCAAAGCCTCACTGCACCTGCTCATTGAGATTTGGAATCCCTTCCCTAAGGGAAAAATACATTACCTCACTCAGATCCAGCCCACGGCTGACTGACATCAGAATTTTAGCAGAATGGGTTCGGTGACCCTGGAAAGGGAACGTTTTAGGGGATGTGGAGCTTGAATCTTGAAAGGGCTAAAGGAGGGGACAGAAGAGAGCATGCGCCTTTCTCTCCTTCTGCCATTTTTCTGAAGCCAGCCCTGCTGGACACTGTCATAACCAGACCACTGAGATCAAGACTGAACAGGACTTGTTATTCTCCCTTTTGTCAAACATAAAAACTGCTTTATTGTTCCTATTTTTACATAGGTACTTGGACAAAGAATCAGACATTAAAAACAAAACTAACCAACTTTTGTTTTAAAAGGCCACAAAATCACCTCAAGATATTTGTCGCCATAACAGACCTATATAGACTGAAGTTCCTTAGTTTAAATCTTTACTGACCTGGCTTCACATAGTTCATGTCATCAGAGTTCTTTAAATGCCAGCCACACAAAAAAATGTCACCTTTTCTGTGTCGTTAAGCTGGTCAGTACCGTAGATTGTTCAACTAACAGACTGAATTGAAATAGCTAGGGAGAGGGAAAAAGGAAAAAGTGCCACTAAGTCTTACCTACGCAGTCATATCGGCCACGGATATATTTCAGTTCGAAACCAACATGACATTTGCAGTAGTAGCTGCCAAAAGTGTTCACACATCTTCGATTGTAGGGACACACAGCTTTGCCAGAGGCACATTCATTGATATCTAGGATGGAGAGCCAGGTGTCAGGGTTAGCAAGGAAAGCACTATCCCTATGAGATATACATGCATGCGCACACACACACACACACACACACATTACATGTTGCTGAGTGAATTAATATTTTCCCAACTCTGTGTACTGCATAGCATATACAATTATTGCAAACAGAGTCAGATAGTTAACACTTTAAGCAAACTGACACACATATAAATTTTCCGTGTTACAAAAGAATCACTTCATAAGCAAGCTCCTTCAAGTCCTGCAGTATTGACCCAAATCACAGAAATGCGCTTTCTCAAGAATGTACTGTATACATAAATTGTGGGTCAACTGTAATGATGCAACAACACAACTTTAGCAGACAATAGGCTTCCTGCCCTCTCTACTGCTGACAGTCATGCCACAGAGGGGCTGACAGCTCTGTGCACCAAACCAGTAAGAATCAGGCTTTGCTTCCCTTTCAGATATCAAAGCACAGAGATATGCTGTTGTTTCAGAACTGTGGTTCAACATACAAGTTGGTGCCAGAATATTGTTTCTTTTGCACCCTTAAAATAATTAATAAAATAACGCCCTGGCTGGCGTAGCTCAGTGGATTGAGCGCGGGCTGTGAACCAAAGCATCGCAGGTTCGATTCCCAGTCAGGGCACATGCCTGGGTTGCAGGCCACGGCCCCCAGCAACCGCACATTGATGTTTCTCTCTCTCTCTCTTTCTCCCTCCCTTCCCTCTCTAAAAATAAATAAATGAAATATTTTTAAAATTATAATTAATAAATAAGTGATAGGCTGACAAAAAATTATTTTTCCATGATCCCTTTCCTGCCTGCCCTCTTCCTTTTCCAAAAAAAAAAAAAGTACCCAACCAATCCAAGAGGTGGGTGAAAATGTGGATTCAGTGTGGTCAGGAATTAGCCTTGTCACAGAAATCTTGTTTTACCGCAGAATACTACATCTGTGATTCTAGTTAAATCTTTGATTATGCTCAAAGAGCAGAGACAAATTTTTAACTTACATGACTTTTTAAAAGTATTTAACTGATTTAGTACCCATTTGGCTAAGCTTTCTAAATGCAGTTTATCAAGTTACATACAGTTAGGATAAATAAACATCCAGCATCTTAAGTAAAAAATATTTCTACTGTGGTAAGGAAGTTAGAATATGAAATCATACTGCTATTTCCTTATTTAAGTCAAAAGATTCATACTGCTATTTCCTTATTTAAATCAAAAGATTAAGAACTCTTTCAACAGTCCGATTTGGTTTGGCATTGCTTATTCATGCTATGTGCTTCTTGCTCTAAATATTGTGCATATTTGGTGCAATACAATTAAGCACAGTACTATGGCAATATACAATTTGGTGGCTGAAGTAACATGTGCAGGGTAAAAATACTAAAATAAAATTATTTTGCTTCTTTCTCCACTACGGCATCAGGCAACCCCAAAACAATCGAGAAGCATTCTTCCTAGCATTCTAAAGTACGTCTAGAGCATTCGGGGGTAACAATGCTGTCTCAGAAACAGACATAAATCTGTACTTTTAGGAGCTCGTGAGGTCTAGTCACCATGCAGATTGCGGTAAATGAAAAAGGAGGAGATAAGTAAAGGGGAGCAGGCAAGGGAAAAGGACGGGACGTGGAGGTGACGCCTGCTGCTTTACCGATGCAGACTTTTCCATCTGGGGCCAGGTGGAGTCCCGAGGACGGGCACAGGCACCGCGGCCCTTCCTCCGTGTCTTCACAGCCGTACTGGCAGTTTGTCATGGCGCACGTCCTGGAGTCTGCAACAAGTAGGCAAGGGCGTTAAATGTAACGTGTGGAACGGAATTACAGGGTAAGCGTCATGGTTTGAGAGTCGAATGGAATCTGGGTAGGGTGGTGTCTTGGTGGCTCCATGGTCATTTTTTAAAAGATTTTATTTATTTATCTTTAGAGAGAGGAGAAGGGAGGCACAGAGAGGGAGAGAAACATCAATACACGAGAGAAAGGGATCGGTTGCCTCTCACATACCCCCAAATGGGGACCTGGCTTGCAACCAAGGCATGTGCCCTGACCGGGAATCGAACTGGTGGGGCGATGCCCAACATACTGAGCCACACCAGTCAGGTCTCCACTGTCAGTTTTGTTGGCCAGTGTATTGAGCTTGACTGTCTTTAGGTAGGGCACGCACCCCTCGGTCACCACGCTGCATCTGTCTCTCCTCTGGCATGAGCTCTAATCACTCCTTATGTCACCTGGCTGTAGAGTTGAAGTGCAGCTTCTGATGCAGGTGATCCACCTGAGTAATTAGGGTAAAAGAATCCATTCTCAAGATCTCTCCATGCATACTTAACCTCAATGAGAGTCATTTGCGTCACAAGACGGCCATTTAGGTGCCAGTTTTAAAACATGTGGCAGATATGACTGATTGGCTGCCAGAAAGCCATTCCAGACCCCCCTTTCTCTTGCTATTGCCATCATTGAGGCTGAAAATCCATATACTTGTATTTTTCCCAGTATCCCTTGCAGCAACAAAGAGTGCCCATGGGGCCCTGTGGTGGCCAAAGAAATATACAGATAAGTCCGCTGGAGGGAGTGGGACTTCTGGAAAAGATACTGATAAAATGGACATGATGAAAAGGATGGTCATGAAAGAGGTGTTCTTTCATTGGCATCATTCCTTTCCCCTTTGTTTTGCCTACCATGAAAGTATGTGTGCTATCTGGAGCAGCGGCAGCCATATTGTGACTCTGAGGCAACAAGCATGAGAATGAAATCAATACCTAGAGGATGGCACAGACTGAGTCCTTGCTGAGCTGTTGTGGAACTGCCTGCCTCCCTCTTTTTTTCCCCACAAATGAGATGATTTACCTGGATGTTTCTGTCACTCATTATCTTACAAAAATGCGTTTCCTCAGCAGGAGTTCAGTATGTGTGGATCATATGCTTCTACAACAGGGAGCGCGGTGAATACACTCCCTTCATCCACCCGTCCATGACATGCCAGTCACCCAGTTGAACAAAAGGCACTGCAGCAGGTCAGGTGAAATAAAGTCAGCATCCAGGACAGAGGGCCAGGGCTACCTGGACCCTGTGAGCTATAAACAGGGAGGCCTAGGCAGCCCTTGTGTATATAGAAATAGACAAAGAGTATACAGAGCTAGATACACAGGCCAAGGCAATGTAGCAAACACCTACCAATGGTAATATTTCTAGTTTAGCCTTCCTTCTCTTTACTTGTCTTCTTTTAAAATGAATCCTTAAAATTACCAAATTCTATCTTTCCATTTGGAGAAAGATATCTTTTTTGGCATTGACTGGGCTGCACAGAATGTTTCAGAAACATCCATTAGCATATATCTTCTCAAAAATGCTAAGGGGTTACTATAAAAGCCTGGTTGGAAGTTCCCACAGAGGTGGGGGTGCGGGGCTCTGGCAAAGTTCTATTTGGTAGTAGTGACATGGGTGTTCACCCTATAAGAGTGCATTTTGCTATGTATTTATCTCTTGCGGGTTTCTGTTTAATTTATAATAGTAAGGGTTTTTTTTAAGCCTGTTTGAATGCCTGCTTTATCTCTTCAGCTTGCCTGCTAACGAAGAGTCTAGATGACAGGTAGTGTCGGGGCGCTTTGCCAGGGAGGGACAGCACAAAGATGAGCCAGAGGAGCAGTGAGCCGTGCATTAGCCAAGATTTTACAATGGCGGGAAAGCCCAGGATGGGCTGGGGAGTCCATGAGACTCTGCAACCACAGGACGCTGGGAGAAGACACAGGCTCCCGGCTTGTTGGGGGCCACTGTGCAGTGGAAAAGGAGATGGGGAGAGGGGAGGGAGCAGAGGAGGCAGGCAGGGAGGGTGGGTTTACCTTTTAGCTGCAACATCAAACCTGAAAAGCCTTCTTTCTCAATAAATGAATGGATATAGACTCTCACCCTCCCACAGGACATGGGTTGCTCTTTATCACAGAAGGGCTTTTCTTTTCAGGAATGTGAATCAGAGCATGTTTTCAACAAGAGTCATGAATCTCTGAGCCTGGGGTAAAGGGCGTGAGAAAGGTAGTTGGTGGCATTGATATCCCAAGATGGAATTTAAATTTACCACCTTTCTAAAAACAGTATGCTTATTTCAGTCTACACACTTATTTTGGTGAAGAAACCTAATATGTCCCTGCATTTATACAGATATAGAATTTAGTTTTTCCTCCTCTAGTCTTTTTATCTAAAACTAAAAAAAAATAAGTGTCCAGAATAGTCACATCCACAGAGATAGAAAGCAGATGCATAGTCCCCAGAGGAATGGGGCGGGGGGTGACTGCTAATGGGGATGGTTTTCTTTTAGGGTGAGAAAGATGTTCTGGAATTAGTGGTGATAATTATGCAACATCGTGAATATATAACATGCCACTGAACTGTATACTTTAAAGTGGTTAACATGGTGAATTCCATGTTATATGTATTTCCCCACAATTTTTTTTTAGGAAGTGCTCAAAGAGCCCTGGCTGGTGTGGCTCAGTGGATTGAGCGCTGGCCTGCAAACCAGAGTAACCAGTTCAATTCCCAGTCAGGGCACATGCCTGGGTTGCGGGCCAGGTCCCCAGTGGGGGGCACGCAAGAGGCAACCCCACATGAATGTTTCTCTCCCTCTTTCTCCCTCCCTTCCCCCTCTAAAATAAATAAAATATTTTAAAAAATAAAATAAAAAGTGTTCCAAGATGTTTTAGCCTGGGGAGATGCTAGAATTTTTTTTTCATCATTCAAGTCAACTTCCCCCCAGGCACCAAAGGGCAGAAACTAAGCTTCAAAGGGTGACTGACAGCAGCCTGGCCCTCGACACTTACTGGCACAGGTGGCATCCGGCATGAGCATGTGGCCACTGAGGCAAAAGCACTTGTAGCTTCCATGTGTGTTCACACATCTGTGTTGGCATGGCCGGGGCTTCTCTCCACACTCATTCACATCTGCAGCGGGCAGTGAGAACACAGGAAAGGTTACCTGGATCGGGAAACGTCCACACGGGGACCTGGGCTGGCTTCCCCGGACCCCACCCATGGGTTTGGAGATACAGGACACGGACTGACCTCTTCTCCAAGCTCATGAAAGGGTTGGTTGAGGGTGTGGAGCAAATGGAATGATGGTACACTGTTGGAGGGAATGTAGTGGGTGCAACCACTTGGGAAAACTGCTTGGTGGAATCTACTAAATCTAGAGAAGAGACATACCTATGACCTAGCAGTTCCACTCCCCGGTGTCTACCCAACAGAAACGTGGATACCGCCCACCCAAAAACTCCCAGCGGAAGGATGGATACCAACTTGTGTACTCACGCAATGGAACACTATACAGCAATGAGGCTGAACAAACTACAACTACAAGCAAGTAGATGAAGCTCATGAGCATGATATGGAGGAGGAGAAGCTAAACCCAATGTGCACATTAAAAAAAAACAGGCATAACTAATCTATTGTGTGAGAGGTCAAGATACGGTTCCTTGGGGGGGGGGGGGACAAGTGACCAGACAGGAGTGGGAGGGGTCTTTGGGTAGTCTATTAAGTTTCTGTTTCTTGATCTGAATACCAGGTACATGGGTATTTTTGAAAATTCATCCAGCTGTACATGTTCGGTGCACGCACAATTCAATGGGTTCACTGCTTGAATGAAAAGTTAGAGATATACGTGTTAGATAATACTGCCTCTCATGCTGTCCCCAGCAGCCTCTGACAGAGGCCCGCAGCAGAGCCTCCTTTCAGTTGTTGATGTTTTGGGAGGCCCTGCACTGGCGGCTAGCAGTGGTCAGGTCTTGGGGCAATATGGAATGCCACGGAAAGATTTTTTTTTAACTTTTTTTTAAAATAATGAGATTATTTCCTTTAAGTCTTTTTTCTTTTAATATTTTATTCATTAATTTTTAGAGAGGGAAGGGAGGGAAAAAAAGAGAGAGAGAGAGAGAAACATCAATGTGCAGTTCCTGCGGGCCGTGGCCTGCAACCCAGACATGTGCCCTGACTGGGAATCGAACCTGCGATGCTTTGGTTCGCAGCCCATGCTCAATCTACTGAGCTACGGCAGGCAGGTTGGAAAGATGTTCAGAAGATATTGTTAAATGAGAACAGAACATCATCAAATCCCCTGCACAGGTTGATGCCAACTTTGTAAAAAATATAAAATAAAAATGCAGAGGAGAAAAGGCCTGGGCCTGGGCAGATGTGGCTCTGTTGGTTGGAGCGTCATCCTGTGAACTGAAAGGTTCTGGGTTCGATTCTCAGTCAGGGCACAGGCCTAGGTTGCAAGTATGGTGTCCGGTTAGGGTGCGTATGAGAGGCAACCAATGGATGTTTCTCACATCCATGCTTCTCTCCCTCTTCTTCTCCTTCTCTTCCCCTCTAAGATCAATAAGCACGTCTTCGTGTGAGGACAAATAAAAGGCTGGGGAGGCTGTGCTGTACAGAATGATAATGGTTATCTCCAGGCGCTCAGACTGAGAGGGACTCTCTTCTCAGTGCCTTTCAGTGTTCACTAAAAAAAGTTTGAACATTAACAATAAATAACTTTTTTTTATAAATCTTAGTTTTTTTAGATTATTTATTTATTATTTTTAGAGAGGGAAGGGAAGGAGAAAGAGAGAGAGAGAGAAACATCCATGTGCGGTTGCTGGGGGCCGTGGCCTGCAACCCAGGCATGTGCCCTGACTGGGAATCGAACCTGCGATGCTTTGGTTTGCAGCCCGCACTCAATCCACTGAGCTATGCCAGCCAGGGTACAATAAATAACTTTTATTACAATAAAAAATGGTACAGAAAGAAAACAGAACTTAGAAAGTGATCATGGGTAGAACAGCTTGTGTTTGGAAATGCTGTCCTGTGGGTGCCTCACGTTTTAACCCCCTCAAGGAAGATGTAGAAAGGAGGAAACAGGCATGTTTCTTGTAGGACAGAAATTCCACGCTGCAGCAGGCAAAGTGCATTGTGGGAAATAAGGAAGTAGCTGCTTTCACCTCAGAAAAGAACCTTATGTGGGGATTTTCCCATGTCCTAGCTGGACATGTGAAAGCCCCTTATCCATTGCCCGTTCCCTGCACCCTACCATCTCCCCCATGGACTCTAATTGCTTCAGAAGGGGGAGTTGAAGAATGCTGATTGGACATAATGGGAAATCCAGGAATACTCATCCCTTGGCCCTAACTCAGAGGTGACGCCCTTGTCTCTTGGAAGGAGCACTTTTGGGAAAGACATCAGTGGAGGGCCAAGGCCTGTTGCCGTTAATGGAGATATACAGAGTCTTTGATCAGGCTGTCCCAGGACAGGGAGGCTGTCAGGAGAAGACAGGCAGTCCCAAACCTGAGCCAACTGGACAACTCCCTCAATCTTAATATTTTACTGAGACTTGAAAACCAGCATGAAAAATATCTCCTGTATTCCAACTCTCTTAGAAGGCTTCTTGGTACGGATTCCAAGACATATGGGAAATGAGGTTTCTTGGTGGGAAGACCCTAGTAAAGGATACAGCTGAATTATTACTTATGCGCATGATTCTTGATGCAGCTGTCTCGAGCAGCTGGGTGCATGCAGTTCTAGGAAGCACCTTAGGGCACCGGCCTCTATGCTGCTGGTGGGACAGAAGGGAGACAGAGACTCCTCTCTGAAACTGCAGGGCTGCAGCTCCAAGAAAGGCTATTTCAGTGTATGTGTATACAGCTATGCCCCAGGCTTGGCAGCTAGGCCTGGGCACAGCGGGGTGGAGCGGGTGCTGGCCCTGTTCTGAAACTGCATTCTCCCTTCGACAGCACTGGCAGCCTTATTCTTAAGGGCAGCCGAACTTGATCTGCTGCTCTTTGCTCAACTGCATTAGGGAACCGGGGACATTTTCTGAATTACTGCAGGTTCCTTCATGCTAGGGTTTCTCAGCCTCAGCGTTGTTGACATACTGGGTCAGGTTATTCTTTGCTGTAGGGCTGCGTGGTGCACTGTAGGATGCGTGTCCACATCCCGGGCCTCCACCCACTGGATGCTGGTAGTGACTCCTTCAAACATGTTCAGATGTCCCATGGAGTAAGTTTCCCGGATTTAGCAAATAAAAACACAGGATGTCCAGTTAAATTTCAATTTCAGATAAATGATGAACACTTTTTTAGTATGCATATATGCATAGATCCCATTCAATATTTGGATGGAACAAATGTGTGCTATCAACTTATTTCTTGTTCATCTAAAATTTAAATCTTACTGGGGATCTGTATTTTATTTGGCAGTTCTTCCTGGGGGACAATATTATCCAGATTGAGAACTGCTGTTCTCAGTATTATAAATAAACCCTGCAGCCCTGGCTGGTGTGGCTCAGTGGATTGAGTGGTGGCCTGCAAACCAAAGGGTCGCCAGTTTGATTCCCAGTCAGGGCATATGCTTGGATTGTCGGCCAGGTCCCCAGTGGGAGGTGTGTGAGAGGCAACCACACATTGATGTTTCTCTCTGTCTCTCCCCCCTATCTAAAAACAAATAAGTAAAATCTTTAAAAAACATGTAGCACTTCAGTAGCTTGAAAACACAATAAAATGATTTGTTTAGAGAAAAAGAAAGGCCTTTTATCTGGCATCTTGACAAAAGCATCAGAATGACTTTGACATTTTTCTGGGAGAAGAGACAGACCACAAATTCTAGTTCTGAAAACACTTTCACTTGAAGATTGGAGGTAAAGCCTGTGACATCCTGAGCACTGTGTCATGTCACAGCCCCGCTGGGATGGCGGGAGTGCTTGTGAGAAGTCTGGGGTACCTTTGCACTACAACCCTGGTCTGTTCGACTAACCTTGACTGCAGGTCTTCCCGGTGTATCCTGGCAAGCATCTACATTTATTTGGTCCCACACACTCACCAAACTTGCAGCCAGGTTCACATGTAGCTGTGGAAAGAAGAGGTGTTTTGAAGACGAAAGAACAGGAATAGTTAGTGCAGTGAAATGCACGCATATCCAACTCAACCGCCTTCCATATGGCAGAGAAATCCATGGGGACATTTAGAGGACTCCCTGGTCTGTTTTTGCCATTAACAGACTGGAAAATATTTTGCCTGTGAGCTAGATCACCCCCTCCCACCATCCCTCCACCCCAATAAGTGCAAGTTCATTGTAACTGTGCTTAGCACCACCACACCTCCAGTGGCATTCAAAGAAAGACAGAGCCTCCCAGACCACAGCCAGCTAGTCTTGCATGTAGACACTAAGATTTAATGAAAGAAGTATAATGGGTCAGCCGGAAGGGACTCATGGGGCAAGTGCCAAGGTCCCTTTCCTTCTTTTTGTTGCTTGCCTATTCTTTCTCTGCCATATTTTCTCTCCTGCTTTCCTTTTGAATGATTAAAGTCCTTTTAATGTTCTGCATGATTGATAAAACGATAACTCACAGATTGGAGGCAGGGAAGATGGGAAGCTCTAGCCCTGAAGATGGGAATAAAAAGCATGATGATGATGATGATGATTGTGATGATGATAGCAGCATGATAAAGGCAGAATTTTTCTATTTTTTCCACTTCTGTATCCATACCTCTGAATGAGGCACTCAACAAATATTTGCTGAGTGAAGTGGTAGAAAACACTAGGGTTGGATGCGTAACCGATGGGGTTAGAGGCAGGATAAAAAGTCCACAATGATGGAAAAGTTGAGTCCAGCTTACAGGGAGGAGACAGGGAGAAAAGCAGTAGACAGAAAAACAGGAAAGTGAGAAAACCCAAAGGAAAGGAGAGAGGGAGAGAGAGAGAGAAAATAATGAATGGAGGGGGCATGTAGGGAATCATGGGCCTTCAGTGATTTTTTTTTAGGAGCTCAGGAAATAACCATGGTATAAAAGAAAGACTCAGCAGTTGCCCTGGAATGTTGCTGACTTCTCTGTCCTGGCTCATAGTAGGGCCACATCTAAGCAAGCCTATTCTTGAAGACCCCAGCACCTTCCTCTTCAATCCCAGACCCTAGTTTTTTTCAAGGTCATCTTTCATCTCCCAGTTACCTAGAATCAAAATTTCAGACATCTCTATTTTTTCTTGTTCCCAAACCAGTCAGCTACAACATTCTATCCCTGTTCTTACCACCAATTCATTCACTGAGCAAATATTTAGCTAATTGGAATCATTTTGCCCATAGGTATTTGGGAGGTTACAACACACGGCACTCCTCAAACCCCACCCTTTTCTCCCGCCACTGCCTGGGACCAGTGCTTGACACGGGGGTCTAACAGCCTAGCCCCTGGGCAGGACAGACTCTGATACAATGAACACCTCACAGCTCCTGTGGGATCAGGCTGCAGCTGGACTTCTCCTGGAACCACATCTTTGACCAGCTTCTTCTCCTGTTCCCTCTCTTCTTTACAGGTATCTCCTGAGATCATCCCTCCATAGAATATTTGTACAAGAACCCCTTTAAAGGCCCTGAACCTAGGAAGTGCGCTGTCAGACACGACACTGAAGCAATATTCCAAAAGCACAGCTCTGATCATGCTGTGCCTTGCACAAAAGTCATTAAATAATCTTTATTGCCTCTTGAATAAGGGACGGGTACCATAACCACAATCTGGCTTCCGTCCCCTTTTGCAGCCTTAGCTTACTCTGTTCCCTACACATAGGCAACACTGTGGTTGAGCTAGATTGCTTGCCTACCCCTTGCTTTCTGCCTCTTCATATCTCTTGTTCCCCTGCCTGGGGCACCCCTCCCCAACCCTCCAATGGTTAACATCCTCTTGGTCCTTCAAGGACTACCTTGCACGACCCTTCCTCCCAGAATCCTTCACAGATTTCTCTAGCCACATGCAAACTTCCGCTCAACTTTGAGAATGCCACAGAACTTTGGTGGGCTTCCCCTGTGAAACTGAGCAGTCTTCATCTTATCAAATCATTAGACATATCTTCGGCTTCTATCTACTACCTGACTCTGAGTGCCTTCAGAACAAGGACTTAAACATTCATTTTTGGTTCTCCTGCTGCATTGAACAGTGTTGTGAACATGTTGGCTACCCAAATAATTCTGAATAGCATATAAAGTAATAGTAATAAACGCAGTGTAGAACTTTTAACAGGGAGACATTTTATGGCTGTGAATAAATCCTAAGCTGGAAGGTGGCGGGGGGGAATACTTTCCAGCAAAAATTCTTCCACTTTTGGAGACAAAAGAGATAGAATTGGATTCCCAGTGTCCGTTTTGTTGTGGATATGTACTTGGGGTGCAGGTTTAACTTTACATGCTACACCAATAAATCTTTTACTTTTTTAAGCCCTGAAGACCTCTGCTTTTTTCCCTGGAAAGTTACTCACAATGTGGTCCAAATCGGAAAGCTCAGGCGACATGCCAAATAGAACCCAGAAGCAATGGAAATAATACTCTTGCTGCTATAAGGTCAAAGCTCCAGAAAGATATTTCAATCTACAGAAACTTTGGACCAGTGATTTGGATAGCCAGCCAGTCCACATCAAAATTCAGTTTATGTCTAAAAATGGTCTGAGACTCAAGAGGGCTTTAGGGAAAGCAAAGCTCTGCTGTTCACTCCTCCCCCAAACTCCACCATCTGTAGCTTTCATTAGTGATTTGTTCGTGGACAACATCTGGCTGAGTGACATATATCTGAAGGTTAATGATGGAGAGCGGAGCAGACCCAGCCTGCAGAAACAGAGTTTGGCCAAGATCTAGAAAGCTCTGGCACTGAGGCAGGGCCTTGCGAGGAATGAAGTGTGAATAGACAGATGGAGGCGAAGACATGCATGAACTGGGACGCCACAGGCTGGGGTCTAATTCTGTGTTCTTGTTCCACTACCACGCAGCCCACATTCTAGCTCAGTAATCAGAGACATGGCGATCAGGGACTATAACCATCCTGTGATTTGGTGCTTCAAGGAACATGTGAATTTGCTGTCAGGAAGGACCATGCAAATTGGATGAAAAATACGATACGGTGTTTAGATATAACAATCATGGCAATGGCATGAATGTGAACATTGGACTGGGACAGTGGGGATGCTGACAACCTGTTCAGTCTGCCAGACTTGCAGAGTGAGCATTTTTCTTGAACCCTCTGTACTTGCTCTTTTAACAGCTTGCTTTAAATTCTTTCGTGCCTATAGCATTATATCGTCCACAAAAGCATTGGGAATGTGATTGGCCACGTGTCATATGGCCAAACTGCTCTGATCTAGTTACAGACTAGCCCGTCCGGAAAGCCAAAGCTCACCCTCATTTATTCACCAGAGACATGCAAGTTTTTATGGCAGCAGGCGCTGAGGGTCGTGTGACTGTCAAAGAGATTCCAAATCATGGGACTCACGTGGTTTTTGCCCCTTTCCACCTGACTGACTTCAAATAAAAATGCGTTATGTTGTGTCTAGAAAAAGAATAAATCAACACTTAATTCCCCCGTCACCTGCTGCTCTAACAGACAGAAGTTTGAGAGGAGACTTATGGGTGCTTTGTGAACCAAGGGTCACTTCTGGGGTATTTTCTATGTGAGTCACGGACCAGCCGCACTCTTTAATGCATACACACTTCACCCTATGAAGCAGGTATTACTCTCTTCCTATTGCAGAGGAGGAAACGGAGCCTCAGGGAGCTCACGCACCGCGCCCAAGGCTAGCCACATCATTCCGGTTCTAAAGGCGATGGCCTTGATCACGATACCGTCAGTGTGGGGACGCAGCACCCTTCTCCCCAACAAAGTCCCCGGGGGATGTCTAACTTTCCCTATCTAGGTAAGCAACGATGATCTTCAGCAATTTCTCAAGTGTCTTCACACTCTTGTTTCATCACAAGGAAACTGGGATGGTGGCAGGTTTTGAATAATACTGAGCATGTAGGAGCGATGTCAGTGTCTCCCAATATGTCATGGATTTTGGACATGATCAAGTTCTGTCCTCACCTAACCGGAAATTTTTTGAACCAGAGAGAGAGTAGCAGGCTGAGGCAGGGACAGACCGGCAGGAAGAAGGCAGCTCTGTCATTCCTAAAAATGGCTCAATTTTTGTGATTTACAGTTTATACTCTAAGGTTATCCACACCAACACCTGAAGTGTATGAGACATGCAGTGGTATATCTGTCCAGTTATCAGACAAAACAGCGAGGTTCAGGCAAATGCCACCTAGGGATCCAGGTGTGGTTGAGTTGGTTGGGCATCGTCCTACAAAGTAAAAGGTCGCTGGTTTGATTCTCAGTTGTGGCATTGTTCTGGGTTGTGGGTTTGGTCCTCGGTCGGGGCTCATATGAAAGGCAACTGATCGGTGTTCTTCTTGCACATCAATATTTCTCTCCCTCTCTTTCTCCCTCCCTTCCCCTCTCTCTAAAAACAAATAAGTAACATATTTAAAAAATAGTTAACAAACAACACAATCATGCTCACTAAGATAGCAACAGAAATAAGTGACAAGGTAGGTCTCCCAAAACATATCCTGTGTAGGGTGATGGTATCAGTCACATTTTGGATGGAAAGAGATGTCACAGGAATGCAGACTTGGGGTGTTGGTAGTTACCCATGTCCCTCTGCTGGGGAACCCACAGCTTATGGTGTCACAGATAAAAAACCTAAAGACCATGTCCTGGTAGTTGAGCACAGAGCGGCCTGAGTTTATACAAAGTTACCTTCACAGAGTCCCTTGCTGCTCCTTCTCCAGCCATAGCAGCAGGCCAGCTTGGTTCCATAGCGACAGACCCCAGGCTGGAGCACCAGTGCCGACAAGCCGTGATCCCTCGGACTGCGGACAAAGAGCTGTGTGTTAGTGCTGAGAAAACAGAAAGGGCAGCAGACACCCTCCCTGCTACTCAGTGAGCAACAGGGTTGTCAGTTGCCTGCTTAATTTCAATAAACAGGATGCGAGTGCTAAATTCCACTTTGACAACCTGAATTTGTGGTGGCCAGTCTGTGCTACCGTCCCTTGCTGGCCTTCCCTAATAATTGGGGTCATCCGTTTCCTTCTGCCCCAGGGTTAAAAGAATTGGATTACATAGTCTATAAAACTAGGGCACACAACAGTGGCCAAAAGTTTATGCTCGCGAAGCTCACAGAATGCCAATTTTCAAGTCTGCTCCTCATAGACACAGTGCCTACTCAGGTCTGCGTCTGTTTCAGTGCTGAGTGTGGTAATAAGACTCCCTGGCCTTGCGGCTCTGTCCCAAACAAGACCACTGAACTTTTACCCCATTGGCCACCTGGGGACCATTAAACAAACTGGAAGGTCCACACGCTATAGTAGGGTAAGGGCTGGAAGGGCTCTAGAGACCCCTTAGCCAAGCCCTCCCATGGTACAGATGAGGAAATTCCAGCCCAGGGGGAAAGAAGCCACTCCCCGGCAGAGTGGTGTCGGGAATGACAGGCCAGGTGCCTTCTCCTTTGTCTCTGCCTCCTGGAAGCACAATTTGCCCCCCCCTTTAACCATACAGCAGGGGTGGGCCAGCATTTCCCATACAGGGTCAATGGTAAATAGTTTACGCTTTGTGGGTTATTCCATCTCTGTTCAATTGCAAAACTAGCGGCAAGTAATCACAAACAGGTGAAGTGGCTGTGTTCAATCAGAGCTTATTTATGGACACTGAAATTTGAACTTAATATACTTTTCATGTGTCATGGAATAGTATTCTTTTGAGTTAGCCCTAGCCATTTATAAAGGTAGAATGAATTCTTAGCTCACAGAGCACATGAAAACAGATGCCCACCCAGCCTTGGCCTGCGGGCTGTAGTTTGCTGACCCCTGACCAAGTGAGCCCTGCCACCAAGTGCCCCAAGGATCCTGGGCCGTGGATGATGCTCCGTCCATGTTTACTTACTGGCCTCGCGTGGGACAGGGTTGCTACCAGGTTCTGGGAGGAAATATTTCAGTTGTATATTTTATGCAGGGCTGTGGTTGTTTCCACATGCATATGAAAGAAACTGTAAAATGTTTCCGGGGCTGTTTCACAGACGAGGAATTCACATGTTGCCACGTGCTTTCTGCTGCAGGATTGACTTTTATGCAAGTTAATAGCGTCTGAGTCAAGGTCGGGAAGCTAGACAACCTTGTCGTTTGCCCTCGTGGTCTGCCTCCCATCAACCTGGTTATTCAGTGAAGAGCTGCAAAGATATGGTCTGGGCGTTTCATTAACTGAGAACACCAAGTTCAAGGATGATTTTGTTCTTTACTTCCTCTTGAAGGAACTATTTTTTCATCCTCTAAAAGAATTAATTTTGGATATATATATATATATATATATATATATATATATATCCTTTGCTAAGCCCCTGAATGGGGTTTTCAATCTCTACAACCTCTACATGACCAATATTTTGAACCAGATAAATCTTTGTTGTTGGAGGCTGTCCTAAGCATTGTAGGATCCTTGGCCTTTGCCCATAGACACCAGTAGCACCTCCCCCTCCAGTTGTGCCAGTCAAAAATGTCTTTAGACATTGCCACGTGTCTCCTGAAGGACAAAATGGTCCCCTGTTAAGTACCACTGCATTACAGGGAAACATTTACTGAGCACTTGCTATATTCCAAACACTGTCCCAGGCACATGGAGTGATGAAAATGATCCAATCTTTGCTCTCTTAGGTTCACAGTATACTGTTCATTATAGTATTTGTTCATTCATTATTTAATAGATTAGTCACTCACTCATTCATTCATTCATTACTTATTTATTTATGTATTGAGTACCTACACTGTTTCAGGCACTGGGTTAGTCTCCAGAGGTTCAGCACCAACCAAGAGGGCCATAACAACTCTACTCTCATGGAGATCATATTCTGACCAGTTGGATGGTAGGCGGCAGTGTTGTATTTCTTGCATGAGGAATATGGGTGGAGGAACATGTCAGAAAATAGAGGAAATGATGGGTTCTCTTTGGGATGTGCTGCTTTGGAGGGCTCATTAGCCACGCAACCAAGGGCAAATGGTGAGTAAGCAGTTCGATATCTGGGCCAGAAGTCCCCGAAGCAGGATGAGATTTGGGAGTCATCGGCAGGTAGCTGGTTACTGACTCTATGGGAACCAACATAGTGTGAGAAGAGAAGGAGACTTCAGGCAGAGCCTCAGGGAACCTGGTATGTGGGAGGACAAAAAAAAAGTGCAGAAAGACTCCCAGGAAATGCTCAGACAGGTAACAGGGACACGTGGTTAGTATGGTGCCAGGTAAGCAAAATGTGGAGTGTTTCTAGAGTGAGGAGGATCAGCTCTGATGTTGAGAGGCTATAACATATGGTGGTTAGGACTATGGTTTCTTCTCAGAATTTGAATCCTGGCTCTGATATATATTAACCTATGACTTTCAGCAAGGAACTTCATTTTTCTATGTAACAGCTTGGAGCAGTGACTCACACAGTCAATGCTCTCTAATCGATTTCTCTTAGTAGTACTAGTAGTAGAACTAATATTATCTGTGTTGAGTAAGATATAAAGTTGAAAATTGCCATTGACTCATACTCAGAGTACATCTCAGTTTGAAGTAGCGTTCTGCTTTCGTCTGAGCCTTCTGAGAAGTAGAAGGCAAGATGGAACAAAATACGCAAGGATTTTGTTAGGGGAAACGCCTGTGAGAGGAAATGGGCACAGTGCTAAGGAAGGTTGGGAGAGCCACCGGACCACCGTGGAGGTCTGACTCTGGATGAAGGACAGAGAAAAAGAGGGTTGGGTGGAAGTATCCAAGGCTGCTGTGCAGTCTGTGAAGGTTTGGCAAAGCTGTAGGGGCGTCCATGAGCCAATGTCGGCCATCAGACGAGAGCAATGTTTCCCACAAAAGGTCCCGCCTCAGTATCGCTGACACGCTCAGCCTCTGGGAAAAGTGATCATGGATTTCTGAGAGCAGAGTAGCTGGGGCCCCGCCCTTGGTCAGGTCAATGGTCAACTATACCCCCAGCTGTTGGGAGTCACGTGGCTGCCAAGTTTCCACGTGATCTTTCTTTTTAATGTAAGTAGGAATCAGTTTTCACTGTAAGGGATAAGGAGAGATTGTCATAGAATTTCATATTAATGAACGTGACTTTAGATAGCATCCAATGCTAACCTATGATTTTACAAACGAAGAAACCAGGGTCAGGAAAGACTGTTGACTTTGCATTGGTATTAGAAGTCAGAGGGGAATACACTTCACCAAACTATTGGCGGGGGGCAGAATTTGCCACCCCAAAATATGCCTCTTTGCACAGCAGACACAAAAGAAACCCCCCAAACCCAGTATGGTACCCTTTTATAAGACAAATTTACAAGGGAAGTCTCCATTTGTAAGCGTGTCTCCCTCTCTGTACCAGGAAGAGAAGGATGGCGCTAAATCTCTAGAAACTGTATCCATGGAGAAGTCAGACTTAAATTTGCATAACACCTTACCCTTGTTTACTGTGCTTTACCTAGGCTCCCTAACTGGCCTTATACCCCTTCCCCCACCCACAACAACTTCTTTTGCCTTTAAAGGGTATAGATGATATTTAAGGGGGTGGCTTGGGCCATTTCAGGAGTTAGTTTCCCTGGGTCTCTCCCATGTACACAGGAGGTATCCATGCTTTTAAACCTCTGTTTGATTTCCCCCTCTTAATCTATGGTGGGGGGTCCCAGCCAAGAACCTACAAGGGTTCAGGGAAAATTATTTTTCCTGCTCTACACTATTCATCCATCCATCTAGCCAATTAGCCACCCAAAATTTATTAGGTGTTGGGCACTGTACTAAGCACTGCGAATCTAGAGGTATAGGAGAACAGCCTCTTTCTGCAAAGAATTTGTAGTGTAGGGATGAAGATGGGCACATAAGTGGATTAATTACACTCCACCATGATGAATCCTGCCAAAGGAGTAAATTCACAGGAGCTAGGGGAAGATTACGGAGTTGTTAGGTTGAGGTGAGGTTAGGGTGGGTGAGGGTGAGTTAGGGTATGTGGCGAAATGGTTGTAATCAATAAGGGCTACAAGGATTATCAAGGAGATAGTAAGACAAACCTCCAATGGATTTATGGTTAGGAGTGGCAGGGACCAACTCAATCCAACCTAGAGACTAATTTCACCTTCTGGTGACCCCCTAGTCTCGTGATCTCATTGTAATATATTAGCATGCTAAACGACACACTAGAGCCACTGTGATTGGAAACAGAAAGCCTATATAACGACACAACACGGCCACCAGGACTCTTGCCAGAAATCTCCACCCCTTTCATGGACAGATCCTGAATATTCCTCCTCGCTCTTTTGAATGTCCTACAACTTGATTAAATGAGTGGTAATAAAAATAGTAAATCGCACTAGGGAGGGGATGCTCTGTCTGTGGAGTAGCCACTCTCCATCTCACTGCTTCACTAGTAAACTCTCTTTCACTTAAACTCTGTGCTGGCGTGTCTTTGAGTTATTTTCTTTCATGAAGCCAAAAAACTACAGTGGCCCAGACTCTTGGGTTCCTGGACCCTTGGAATGCCTGCATCAAAGGGTTTTCTGGAGGAAATTGGGCCTGATATGAATCCTGGTGACTGGTGGAGCTTACCCAGGTGCAAGGGAGGAGTCTGTTTAGTGGGGAAGGTGTTCCAGGCAGAGAAAGCAACTTGTATCAAGGATGGAGGCACTAAGAACATGAGTTGGTGGCCTATCAACTCGAGCATAGAAAGTAGTGTGTCTTTGGACTAGGGGAGTGGGGAGGGGGGTAGAGAGAATAGTAGAATGGAGAAGGAGCAGGGAGATTAGCAGGCACCCGAAAAAAAGACCCGAGTCCATGTGAAACATTTTACCCATCCTGAGAGCTTCGG